GTGTGTGTGTGTGTGTATATATAAATAAATAAAATAAATAGTATGTAGTGTACTTATATTCTTCACATGAAAAAAAAAAAAACAACAAAAAACAAACAAAAAGCCCCCCAACAAATCAACGTGGTGTCAAGTGAAAAAGAGACGAAGGGAAGCTGAAGTGAAAATAAACTTTCTACCTCTCTAAACGTAAAGAGGTTCTTTTAAAAAAAATTAATTTTATTCCCAGTTTTGTGTTCGATATTTTATTCCAAGGTGGTGGACGGGTGTTTTTTTGATGAAAAAATGCAAAAATCATGGTCGCGATTTGCGAACCAAAAAATGCCATAAGGGCGCAATTCGTGGGTCACGGCCACGACAAACGCAGATGCTAGGTATACCACTGAAAACAGCATTTAGTGCTTAACCTGGTAAAATAACTGCCAGCACCGTACGCACTCATTCAAAAACACTGTAAAATGTTGAAATAGGTCACGAGATCCTGCCAAATAGATTGGGGAGTTTCCATAAGAGCGGATGACGCAGTCATTTCAATGCGTGCCTCCGTTTGGCATTTTCAGCATGGGTCACTTAAGATTTTTTCAAATTGCCAAATAATTTTTGCTAGGACGTGTAGAAATAGTATTTAAATGACATATGAAGAGATTTTGGGCATATTGTCTTTGAATTTGACCAAATTCTTGGTTGTGTTAGTAGAGTGTTTTTTAACTAATGTATATTTTTGTATTTTTCAGACTACACATAAAATAGTCTTAAATATAGTGTTTTCCTTTCATTATGACACATCCCAGTTTGTTATGTGGCTGCCACAGTGACCACATTTTTGGCGAAAATTAAAGAATTCTTCCAACATGTTCTTTATGTTTCAAGATACTGTTGTCATTAACAGCCAAAATACTAAAATCTAATAGTGCTTGCCTTAAAGTAAAAAATGTTCTTTCCTCCCTTTAATGCCTTTACCTTACATTCTTTTTTGCTCATGTTTTCTTCAGACATCATTACCCCTCAGGAAGCAAGTTAAAGCAAACAAACTGAACAACAGTTATCAAGCCACTACAAGTGCCACTGCTCAGAGAATCTTGGAAACACTGGACAGGATGTCTACCCCACTTGGAGTAAATGTCATTATTAGCTTTATTGGAATGTACTGACCCTTAGTTTTATTGTCAGACCTGTATGTGTTGTACGACAATTTTGACTTGGACCAGTTTTTTTTTTCAGCCCTGCTTTGCTGTTTGGGACCCATTTGTCTTTGGCTAACCAAATTGTGGATTTCAGCAAATCTGGGAATGGAAAGGTGCACTTTCTTTTAACATTGCGAGCAACATATGTTGATGAAGAAATCCAACAATACCGAATCTCTGAGGAAAAGAAATAGGTATCATGCAATGTAAGAATTCTATTCAAACAGGCTCACAAATGATATTTTCAACCCTCTTTTAATTATTTCAGGGGCTTTTGCACCCTGAATCCCTAATGGAGTGCTGTCCCTTCTTCTCCCAGCAGAATTTTCTTTACTTTTCTTTGTCTGCTGAGAGCACTGAGTAGAGAAGAATGGTTAATGTGTTTTCTGATAATGAAACCACATTCTTGATGTGTTACTTCTTTATGCTTGTGCTTTGCAGGATGAGTATGCCTTTAGCGGATCATCTGTATGATGAGATTGCAAAAAAAATGTCTGAACCTCTGATGAAGCACAAGTCCACAGTTCCCTAGTCTTTGAATATACTGATATACTGTATGGGATGGAAACAAATCATAAAAAAAGTTAATTGTAATGCTTTCAGAAGTTTGGATCTTGTCTAAATAACAGTCGCAATTATGGATAATGTTTTCATCCAACTTTTTGTTTAGTCTCTCTTAAAATAAAGCTTGCTTCTCTTGTACTTTCCTCTACTGTACAGTGGACCCCGGATTAAAGGAAGTGGTCAGACCTGATCTTCAATTTCGTTTAAACTGAGCGTTCGTTAAAGCAAACATGAGCTTTTTGTGTAGATACACGGCGCACCGGCAGTAGAATTTTAGTTGCCGCGGGGGGTTCCCCGCCGAGCGCCTTATCACGTTGGGGTCACGTCACGGGGGTTAGCTCTGTCGCCACTCTGTCTGGGCTGACTTGATTTTTGATACTTTTCAACATACATTTTTAGGTCTATCCTTGTATTTAGGTAATTATTTTTTAATGCACCCAAAGCACGCATTTCTGCTCGTGAGGACCCCCCCCCCCAAAAGAAAAAAGAACGGACATTGTAACTTGTCTGGTTATTTCGTTACGCACTGAAGTCGGCAATGCTAAATAGAAATTTTGTTGAGCAAGTGTGAATGAGGAAAAATTCTAATGTAAAAAATGGCATGACAAAAACTGTTGAACTTTTGGAACATGAATGACATAACTTTGATGCAGATACTCAGAAAAGATGGTATCTGCGCATATAATAGGAAGCTGTAATTTTTCAACTTTTTCCTTCCGGCACACAATTCGAGATGAAGTAATTCCTCCAAATACAACTTTATGTGTCTAATATAATCGTGAATATTCGCATATTTTCTCTAATGTTTATCAAAATTTCCCTGAACTCTATGAAAAACTAAAAAACAATTTTAGTGCCAGAATACATTTACAATGTAATACACGAACAATAACTCTTCACTCCATAAATTTCTTATTTTTCGTAAAACACTAAGTCTAGGTTTTGTAAGTTGCCTGAATAACAAGGATGACCTCTCATAATTGTGTTACAAGAATAATTTGTAGCTTTCCAGTGACACTGAATAAACACCAGACTTCCGGGTTTTATTTGCGTTTCTATGACCATTTGCAATAACTGACAATGTTCTGATTTCTTTACATTCATAAGTGTCCGCATGTCCGACACAAAAACTAAGAATGAATTTTTAGCCGTCATTATTTTTATTCCATACAAGAAGTTCCTCTCTACTCATGCATTAACACAGTTTTGTGTTTTTAAAGATCGCATAATACATCTTTCTTAGTTGTATGCAGGCTGCCACAGACACAGTATGATTCATGAACAAACGCAGAGTAACTTTCTCTTGTTTAATGGTAGAACAAGAGTTAACGCTGAGTGCCTTTAGTTAAAAAATGCAGATGTGCATCTTTCTTCTCTAATAACTTGACTTACTACTTGCGCAGATTTAAGAATTTTCATGGTAAAAGACATAATATTCATAGTCAGTTTTAACACAGATTTTGGAGAGATCTGTCGTGCCGTTTTTAAATAAATAAACATTTATTCATAAGTGTATAACTAAAATAGGACAAATTGGGGTACTCTACAAACACTTGTCTAGAACAAAAACTAAGGCGCAGAGAATAACCATTCTAATGCAGAATAAATTTCAAGACATTGAGCTTTTAGTACGTCCGCGTAATGGTTTGCTGTGTGGAATGGGGAAGAAGTTATATCATTTCAAACGTAGACAAAAATGCGAACTTCCTAGCCAACACCACCAAAGTCGCCCCAGGGCTCATTAACCCCATGACCCCGAGCGGGGGAGCTCCGGCGAGCTGCTTAGTCACGCTAACTAAAGGTAACAGAATCGGGGGGAAAAGTGACGCCGTGAATAATTCCAGGCACGAGCAAATAATTGTAGGTATGTATTCGACTTTCTCAATCAAAAGTAGTTTGGTTTCTTTACTGACATACTGAAGAAATGTTGAAAATTCCTGGGAAATATATTGAATGTGCAAAAGAGCTGATTCGCTTCAAATGCAACTCTGTGGCCTCTATTATCTATATATGAATTGTTTGCCGAGAAAAATATGTTGGTCTCTAAAGCCTAGCATATGGCAATGTTTGATTCCACAGTCCAGTGTGCAATCCATTATGTAGACTAGCTTATTGTAATTTTGATCACCAGCTGGGGAAGAAAAAATAACTGATGCGTTTGTATCTCTGTTAACTTTCCACGTCTGGATCGCTTGTGCCTCTTCCCCCCAGACACACCTGCACACACAGTCACACTTGTGCTGGCGGCCCATCCAATCCCAACACGTGCTAAGACATGTTCGTGCTTACAACATATGTGTTGGTATAAAGAAGGTGTCTGATTGGTCGTATAAGATATAAAACAAGAGGCTAATCAAATAATGGTTCACAATGCAGGTTCCATGGGGTCGTACTCGGTAACAGATAAGGTTCGTTGTGGAAGAAGAATGAGTGAAGCCACGTCAGCAGGGGGCTGTTCACCCTGCAAGCTACTCGGTTGAATCCGAGCATGCTCATTTATCTGTTACTTGAATCGGAGTTATTTTTTATTATTTTTAAGAATTAAAAAAAGGGGGGGAATCCCAACTCCTTTTGTTCAAACCGAGTTTGTTAAATCCGAGTTTGTTAAATCCGAGTTCCATTCTGTTGCATTTGGCATTGGGTTTGTTAATTTTCATTCAACGAAATATGTGTTAAATGATTGTCTTTCTGGTGGGATGAGTTATTGCTTTGGTTTTGTTTTATAAACATACCATGTTTTCTCTGTGCTGTCTAATGGTAGCTGTTGGAGCACTTTTCGAAAAATTATATTGTGACAGACATAATGGACAACAATTTTTTGTGTGGTCTGATCCGTTATGCTTCGTATGATGTAAACATCTGGACAGACTTCTGGTTTGATGAAAAACAATGTCTGAACCTCTGAGTGAAGCACCTCATAGTTTTACCATTGAGGCATTTATTTGTTTCTTGTTGGATGAGGCTTCCCTGTTTGCTTGATGTGAACTATATTTATGGTGCTTAACACATTACACCCAAACTCTCCCCGGGAATTTCCCTACACGCTCTACCCAAACTTGCCCGTAAGCGCCTGCTCCAACCAGGCGTCTTTAGAAACCAAATCTCGTCTTGATGTGACTCTGGGGCTGAGATTTCGTTTTACATTGTTATTGCAAAATGTTTCATTTTCCATTTGATACCAAAGCGAAATATTTCGGGCCAGTAGTTTTAGCATTGGAGTTGACCGAAGTGCGATCCCGTTTCCAACACTTCATAGGTGTTTCGACTTGTTGAAAAGCAGCACAATTGAGTTTGAAAACTGAAATAGCAATGGATTTGCACAAGAACAGGCCAATGACAAATCAGATAAATCAGATGTTGATGAAAATGTAGCAAGAGTTTGGGGCGATTCCCATTAATCAGATATAGAATTTAGATCTAGGGCCTCTCCGCGAGGATTGAGGGTGAGAGTGACGGGCCGGACACCCTGATTAAACTAAAGTTAGAACATTTCCAACAGTTTGTGCATATAAAGTTATATTTTTCTGAAACTACATTCATTTCTCTTTCTGATTTGTAACTTGTTTAGCATTTAAAAAAATATTTTTTTTAATGCCTGTATTTAGTGAGGTGGGTTCCTTCTTCTTGCTTAAAATTTGGGAATAGACTTCCCGCCCGCCCTTGGGTGTAATGTGTTAAATCATTTCAGCTGGCAGGCGTACATATTGGAGCACTTTTTGAAAAATGATATGAAAAATATAAAGGACCACAATTTGTTTTGTGTGGTCTAATCCGTTATGCTTCGTATGATGAAAACATGACGACAGACTTCTTGTTTGATGAGAAACAATGTCTGAACCTCTGAGTGAAGCACTTCATAGTTTTACCATTGAGGCATTTATTTGTTTCTTGTTAGACAAGGCTTGCATGTTTGTTGATGTGAACCATATTTAATCTGCTTAAATCGTTTCACCCGGCAGACTTACATATGCATAGGGCCAATGCGTTTGCCATGACTTGTTTATTTAACCTTTAGAGCGCTGACTTCTTTCCCCTTATATTTTCCCTCTGTGCTGAATTTATTTTTGAAAAACGCCATATTTGCACATACGCTTTTTTTTGGCTAATAACATTTTTATTTCTCAAAATTTCTAATAAAGGTAAGAATAAAAGTTTTAGAATATTGAAAGTTCTTTAAGAATATGTGAAGCAAAAAGTATTTTGTGACGTTATTGTTGTAGTAGTGGTGTTGGAAATAACTGAATAAAAACTGCCGGTTCATTAGATCTCTAGATCTAGACCCGAGTCTAGATGCTTCATAGGCCTACGTTATCACAAAGTGTTAGCTCTAGCATCAAAACCCCCGAAATCATCTTCCAATTCAAGGAAAATACGCGGAACATCTTCATCTGAATCTGATGCAAGAGATTTTCATGTTTTGTCGCGGGTCGCAATCTCGAATTTTCAGACTTCACTGTCATTCAACTTCAAAGTGATACAAAAAACTCCTCACGTCTCGATGGAAACCCGTGACAAGAAAAATGGCGGCCGAAATCAATTCTGCGTAGCCTACCAGCCAGCAGTATAAAAATTAGTACTTCGTTCTTTTCGTATATCGCGTTATACTATGCCAATGTCTATGGCGACCGGCGGTTCGCGATCAGCACTTAACCGAAGTTCGGGCCGTTGCTCTAAGGGTTAAAGAGACATAGTACGTATTACTATATGAAACCAAGATTTTATCCAAGTTTCCAGGTTTTCCAAAAGAATTACAATACCCTCTAATAGTCTATGATATGAAAAATATATTGCACCTGTCCTTATCCAGTTTGTAAAAATAAGTGAACCATTTTCATAGCTGCCAAGTAGTATGTAAAAAAACGTATTCAGTACGATTTTTGGGTTTGACAGTGCTTCCACTCTTCTGTATTTTTACGGAAATCCGTACTTTCAGCCAGTTCCGTACTTGTCCCTCCATCATTATCAACTCCCTCCGTAAAAAAAAAACTGCGACAGCGCAGGACTGCCGAAATTCCGTAGTCGCCTTCGTATCGTCTTGTATAAGCTACGGATATTTACGGTAATTCTCTCGGCAACAAGTTATTGAAACCTGCCAAATTGCACATTTCCTGCAATCGGCCATTGTACCGCTACGTCCCAGTCCCATTCATTCATTGCGGGTTGGTCGGCAGTACATTTTTTTACCTGCAGATGGATTAAAATCTGATGAACCTTTTGTGCCAATTTCCTCCTTTCTATCATTCACTCATTCCATCTGTCTATCTTAGGATTGTTGCCGCAGCTGGAAAATCTGCGCGTTGATCAAGTAAATTGACTTGTGATCTTAGACAGAAAATTACTGTCAGAAAGAAGCTTTTTTCGCAAATTTTTCAAGATCTAGAGAAATGATCAATGCGCAGCACGTGAACGCAATATAACTTGTAAGGGCCGCGAAGAAAGAAATACATGCTGATACGGGCGTGCCCACTACGCGTGGGATCGGCTGATCGCCCGACTCGGTCGCCTAATAAACAAACGCGTTTGTTTTCAGTTTCAGGCGATCGAGTCGGGCGATCGGCCCATCTAGCTATAGGTAAAATCAAGAATGATTCGAAGTGGTGTTCCGAGGTTGTTACAGGCGACATTCAGACGCCGCTCACAGCACAGCGGTCGAATGGATGCAGCGGAAAAACTTAGCGTCAGCGGCTGAATGGACGGAATCAGTTAAATAGTTTGAGCACCATGCGTGTGAAGTGAGTGTGTCGAGTGCAGGCGTTTTTTTTTACCCCCGCTCGCGAAAGCCGGGTCGAGACAAACGCACTGCCCACGGCCATCCAGGATGAATAAGATTAACTTCAGTGTCTTATAGCCATTGACTTGTTAATTAAGGTAGAATGTTGTTGTTGTTAGTGATCCAGTAGCATCTGAGTGTTAACTCTTCTGCATGATGCCATTTGGTAATAGCTGCATGTCTGTTCAAATTTTTTTAAAGGTAGAATCAATGTTCATAAATTGTGATTATATTATTTGCAGGATGCAAAAAAGATTCCTACAGCAGAGGCAGCAAACGACTCCATTTTGTCCTTTACAGTAAGTATTGATTGCAGGGTGACTGCTGGGGAATTTGAATAAAATTGCAGACCAGGGAATGCTTGGGGAATTTGAGGAAATCTGTAATTTGGTCTTGGAAAAACTGGTGAATATACATCGCCCCCAAAGTTTGAAAACCAAATCTGGTGTTAGGTACCACAAGCGAAATTTTTTTGGAACAATATTGATGTTTAGACCATAGGGGTTCAAATCTACTCTATAAAACAAGAACATTAAAAAAAGAATGATCAAAATCCATCAATAAACAATCGAGATATGGTATTTCAAAGTTTTCTTTTTTAACGAAAACTTTTCAACTGCGACTGTCACCCATGTTTGAGGTGTTCTAAAATACCTAGTGCATGATCAAATCAATGAAAACTTTGTTTTTCCCAGAGCTGTCAACACAAATATTGATATCTCTAAATCAAAGCATGTTAGAAAGACTGATTTCCAAGATATAGGCCTTCAAAAATTGAAAAAAAAAAACAACCAAAATTTGTCATTAAGAGCTCAGAACCCTATTTCAACCTCTTCCGAATTTGTCAAAACTGCCTCATTAGTGAAAATGTCAGGTGACATCTAAGTCTAACTAAGTCTAAGAATAAGTAAAAAGGCTGGTTGATTCAATAATTGAATATCCATCAATCTAGCCTTTTTTGTTACCAAATTAAATGCCAAACAATAGATCTACGAACATTTCCATCGGTAAACACTAACACCCGGTAACCCCCTTCCGAGTGTTTAGTAGTGTGCGATGACATGTTACTATAAATAGAACTCCCAGTTCAACTCTTCACGGCTTTATTCTTTCACTTTGTCAACCAGAGATGCTTAGATTTCGATGCATTTAGAATAAATAAGGTGTTCTTAGTTGAAAAGACTGCAAAAGACCATGAAGCGATACATTTGTATAGATCGCAATTAATTCACTATGAGGTGGTGAAATGTAGGTCGGCGTGATTCCCACCAAACAATAACAATCCATTCACACGGCAAGTGGTGGCCGATTAGTCTTGTTTTTCAAAACACGATATTCATAAGTATCCTAAAAGAAAATTATAACACTTACATAAATTGATGCAATAAACAGATCTATCGAATGTTTCTTTTACTGAACCATCATATAATCGTCTGCTGGTTGAGTCAAGTCAGAGGGGGTGGCAATGGGCGATGGAACAGCCGCAATGGCAGAATGACGATCTCCCGAAAGTGGTTGTAATGTTACCCTACTTCAGAAAAAGTAATTTTTCTACTTCGTGGAACGTAGTTGGCTTTTCTAAACACATAAACTAGATGGTAGAGATATCTAGGAATATGATCCTGGCAAGGATAGCCCGATTTGTGTCGAATTTCATTTTAAAAAATGCTTTCTTCGTCTTTACATCGTACCACTCATGTTTTCCGCTCGGAATAAAAACATAAACACATTTCCCGGAAATTCTCCTGAAATCCCAGGTTTTTATGTTTCAAACTGCAAGAAAATTTGATGATTCACGACTGAGAAATCGAAATTTAAAACAAGTACCCCCCCAAATCTAAGTGCGCAAAATTGCGAGACGGCCGATTAAAAACTAAATATATGCAATCATAAGTATCAGTTTCTCGTTCACCATGGAGAAGGAAAGACACAGAAAACAGTGGTATAATTTTTATTAGTGTTTACCAGCTAATAGTTGGATGAAGTTGTCCAAATCTGGCTCCAGCCGTAGCTGTCTGCCTTGAAAACGGCTCGCCTGCGGTACCTACTGGTGTGGTCATTGCGATTTTTGACACTTTTATTTGTATAGTATTCGTTCTACTTTCCCTGCTCTGAGAGTTCAAACAGCCACCTATGGCAGAAGTGTAGTGGGGTATCAGGGTTGGGAGTCACGATCAGGAAAAATCAAGATCTACTTTCAGTTCTGTTGCTTATTTGTCATTTTGCTGTTAAAGAAAAAAAAAAAAGATCATTGACTGAGTTCTAGATTGTCTTGACTCATGACCAAGACTGCTTTCGCATCACATAGCCTGACTGCTTTCGCCTCACATGACATGTGTTGGGGACCAGCAGGTGGGGTCAGTAAAGTTGTCTCTTGATAGTTCTAGCATCTGTGTTTGTCGCCGCCGTGATTTTCGGCGCAGCGAATTTTGCATTTTTCAACAAAAAAAGCTACTTCATAACATATTACAGATGTAATTTGATCCTTTTAAGGTGTCTGTGTATAGTTATTTTCATGCGAAGAACGTAGGTAGGCCTACATTACATACTATATTAATATTGCTGTTTGTCTTTTTATTTTTCCCCTCTTTGTTGTGTTTTAATCTGTTGAATTTTTGTTTTGTTTGTTATTGTTCTGATGTGTTGTTTTTCAATTTTTTTGTGTTTATATAGTGTAATGTCATTTATTTGATACTGTTCCTACATTAAAAAAAATATGACTGTTATGTTAGAGCGTGCCTCCACCCAATCCAAATACTGACAACCCCCCGGGGCAGTGCCACTGACTGTAGTGTAGTGTCTTTAGGCCATTCCCAAACGGGGGACATTTCTCGTTGAAGCACAGTAGAATTGTAAATGGGCTGATTCATCATGTCACGCTCATAACTGTGCCTGATCTACAACAGGGAATTGCTGCTTTTTCTTTCCTAATCCTTACTATTGTCATTTTCCTCTACTTCTTTTGTATGTTTGTCACTCTCTTGTGACCCGTTATTTCCGGGGTGCCTTGATATTCGTAGCAGACCTTGTGCTGTTGAAGCTAGAGAGGTGAGCAGAATAAGTCTGATTCCCTGTAAAGACTTCGTGTTGACACCCACCCATTGGCGCTCATATGACCTTATGCAGCTGCGAGCGCCGTAAAACCCTCTACTATAAAAAAATGAATACTGACACTGGCAGGCCCCTTGTGTGTGATTCCATAATTTACCTGTAACATCCTGTGCTTTTTCTTGAATTACACATGTTTACGATTAAAACGGCCAGTCTTCGGATAGGTGGACACACGCTCTTATTTGTTGATTTTTGTGGTTCTTTATGTGCTGTTCCAATTTTGATTTCATTCTGTTATGAAACCTTTTTATTTTTGCAGGTGGTAGGCGGGTGCTCTGGTGTGGTTTGCTTCTTCTTTTCTATCAAACATCTATCATCCTTATCTCTCCTTCTTTTTTATGTTTGTTACTCTCTCATAACACCTCTAATCTTCGGCACTTATTTGACCTTATTGTGTTGCAAGTGCAGAAAAACTCTTACTACAACTAATACCATCACTATCACCATTACAAATAATCTTTTTGTGAAATTTCAGCCCACTTCCTATAGACGAACATCCATTCTGGGAATGTCCAGTTCTGCAACAAGACCTTTGCAGGTGGGTAGATGTATGTAATTCCAACTTTGTTTCGAGTGGGTTTTTTTTTTTTAAGGCCCAAAGCACTTCTCAGAGAATTAAAAACCTTCACTGGGTGTGGCTTGTCATGTTTGTAGGCAAATAGACTGAAATTGCCCATCAAGCTGAAATTTTCGTCTTTATTTTTAAAAAGGGCTAAAATAAAATTTTATTTAAATAGAAATAGTAAAAAGTGCCCAAAAGTAACCAACAAATGATCTAGATCTAAAAGAATGTAAGATCTAATGTGTAGATCTATATCTAGATTCAAAGATACACGATTGGATATAGCTCGATTTTTCACCTCATATTTCTGTCAAAGTACCAATATATTCCTCCTTTCAAATCATTAAATTGCTTTTTAATTTAAAAGAAGCGAAATTCCATTAAGATCAACAAATAAATAACCCTTGCGAAACTGAAACACGCAAACACATTCTTTCCGACGCCATGCAAAGTTGACTCAGATGGCATTTTGAGAACACCTTTATTCAAAGACAGGTGCGATGAAAATTGCAGTATTGTCAATCCCAAACGTTGGTCTAAGGACATGAAGGCTTGAGATTTGCTGTTGTAACAACTTTTCAAGGCTATTTTCCAAATTCTATACAATATTTTTTGTAGACATAGGAGTGTTTGGTCTTCGGGCGATAACATAGAGAACGCCAAAACTTAAGCGGGTGAAAATCGACACCGACAGGCGCCAGTCGGTGTCTGCTTGACTCCACATAGAGGGCGCCTATTGCCGATCCCTGTAAGTTCGCGATGCATAGATCTACATGTACTGTTGTCTAGTCTCCCTACATCTACTGTATCTAGAATCTAGTTCTAGATCTTGAGTGATTACAAATTTACAAGAATGGACTCGTCGTTCGAGAGGGGGAGAGGAGGAGAGGGGGAGGGGGAGAGAGAGAGAGAGGAGAGAGATTGTCTTCCCGCGTCAGCTAGAATGTCATATAAAATTGCAATATTATGTCATAAATGTGTCAATAACAAAGCTCCCTCATATCTAAGTGATCTCATCCCGATTTATGTTCCATCTAGATCACTAATATCAGGCGATCAGTATCTTTTAAGAGTTCCTAGAAAAGGGGGTAAAAAATTTGCTGAAACATCGTTCGCCCACCTTGCTCCGTCAGTTTGGAACTCTCTTTCCCAACCCTTGAGACATACAATATCTGAGTCTAAATTTTTAAAAATATTAAGACATTTAATGACATCTTTGTTTTTTGTCTGTAGATTCATGTTCAATACAGTGTTATGTAAATGACTATGTATCCATTTATGTATTAATTTTGTGAAATGCATTGTGTAGATAATTTTATGCTCATTTCGTGACGATGTGTAAGCGTGCGCGTGTGATAAGCAAGTAGATGTGCGTGTGCGTGTGTTTGTATGTGTGTGTGTGTGTGTTTGGCGTACATGTGTGTGCACATGTGTGCGCACATGTGTGCGTGTTACTGCTATATGTTCGTGAGTGTGTATGTGTGTATGAGTGTGTATTTTTGTGTTTGTGTCGCGTGCGTGAATATTGTTCGTATATGTATTTATGTAAAGCGCCTAGAGCTGTGTTTACACGGGAGTGGGCGCTATAGAAATGGTCTTCATTATTATTATTATTATTATTATTGTAATTCGACATCCATTTTGACAAGACACGACACAGCCAGATAGTAGATCTCTAGACGCACAACACAACGGACAACTACACAGGCCTCGTCTCTTCAAAATCACACACTCCACTGACACAATAAAACCTAGATATCTAGATCTAGATCTAAGAAAGAAAAAAAAAATTAATTACACCACAACACAGCTGGTATTGATAAAGCATAATTTTTTTGAGGAAAAAACCCACTATTTTTCTTAAATATTGCTTTACACATTACACCGTAAGGGTCTGGACGGGAAGTCCATTGTTAGATCCTAAGCAAGGGGAAGGAACCCACCTCCCGTGAATACAAGCCTTTAAAAAAACACATTTTAAAAATACTAAACAAATTCCCAAAATCCTGAAAAAATAAAAGTAAAAAAGAAAACTGAATGTAGTTTCAGAAAAATATAACTTTATGTATGCGCAAACTGTTTCACATGAAGCTACAGCGAGCATGTAGCACATCTCTGTGATTGGCCGAAATATAGATGACGTATTTCAGCCATCTATTTTTGTCGTCTCGCGGGGTTTCCCTCGCCACTGTTCGCGCCCGCTTTGTCACTGAGCGGCGAAGAGAGGTTAGTTTCACCGCCGACTGTTTGGTGTGTGTGTGTGCGTGTGCGTGCGCGTGTGCGTACGTGCGCAACTGAGGAAAAGCGAAATTCATTCAACAAGAATTCCTGAGATTATTTATAAAAGATAACACAAATTAATACACCAAAAAACCCCCAAAACAAATTAAGCAAATAAACAAGAACAAAGGGGTAAAAATGAAAAATGGTAGGGGGAGGGCTCTCTCTCTCTTTCTCTCTCTCTCTCTATCTATCTATCTATCTCTCTCCTTCTCTCTCCGTCTTTCTCCCCCTCCCCTTCTATGTCTGTCTGTCTGTCTGTCTGTCTGTCTGTCTGTCTGTCTCTCTG